TTTTTTTTCAGATCTAACTTTACTTTTCTGAGCCATTTTTTAAATTACTTATTTTACTAATTTAAAAAATGGTAACACTTTACAATAAGCTTCATTAGTTAACATTAGTTAACTACTTTAGTTCATATGAACTAAGAATGAACAGTACTTCTACATTTAGTAAGTTAATGTTAATTCCAGCATTTACTAATGCATTATTAAAATAAAAAGTTGTGCTTGTTAACATTAGTTAATGCACTGTGAATTAAAATGAACTAACAACGAAAAACTGTACACTCTAAAAAATGCTGGGTTAAATGCAACCCAGTGCTGGGTAAAATAGGGACAAACCCAGCAATTGGGCTGTTTTGACCCAGCGGTTGGGTTACTACCCAGAAGGTTGGGTTAAACAATTAACCCAACCGCTGGGTCAAAACAGCCCAATTGCTGGGTTTGTCCTAACATTAACTAATGGAACCTTATTGTAAAGTGTTACCAAAAAAATATATATACCAAGGTAATTTTAACTAAGTAATAAGTTGATGTTAAGAAATAACATCAAAATAATTAATTGTAATTAGTTTCGACCCACTTTATATTAAGTGTCTTCAACCACTGTGTACATTTAAATTAATCATTTGATGCAATGCATTTATCGTGGACACACATGTTTTACATTGCAATTATATATTATTAAAAAAAAAAAAACTGTACGTAATTACATTTGTAATTCATTTCTGTAATTACATCAAATTACACTGTTGACCCTACATCTTAAACAACTCTTCTATGAAACCTGTCCTTAAACTTACCCCTATCCCACTTCAAAAGCAGAAAAAGTGTTCTGCAACTTGAACACAATATGTATCAAACAATTATTATTTAGATTTTTTTTGTCGACATTACCACATAGTCAACGACACCTAAAATAGGCTACTGTAAAGTTGGACTAAATTAATCCAATAAATAATTTAAAAAATCAAACAATTATTATTTAGATTTTTTTTGTCGACATTACCACATAGTCAACGACACCTAAAATAGGCTACTGTAAAGTTGGACTAAATTAATCCAATAAATAATCGAATTATTAGGAATAAAAAAAAAAAACAGTTCCCCCACAAACATTTAATAAGTGTCCATTTGTTTGTTTGTTTAATCTTGATCAACTGTTCTACTGCTTTAAAGAAAGTAAAATATTCAAAATTGTGAATAAGTCTGGTACTTTACAAAGGAATCTCCCAAATAAATTCCTTTGCTCCAATAATGATGTCATACATGTGACTCGCGCCTTCCTAATTTGAAAGCTAATGATTAACTGAACGGTTACAAACGCAAACTCTGGAGACTGAAGTAATAACAGTAGGCGGCTCGGCGCTCGGCAGCAGCAGAGCTCCTCGTTGATCCTCCTCCGTTGGTTTGAGGGGAGGAACACACACTGAAATCTGATACATGTGCCTAGAGATGAACTCTTCTCCTCCTCGTGAGTTTATCCTGTTCGCTCAGTCCAAGTCCATGTGAGAGAATCGGCTGCATATGGAGATATCTCGCGAGCCGATTATTTCTGGATTTCTAGAGGACAGACTGAAAGAATTATATTGTTTCACAGTGCCGATCACATGGTGCTTGACGTACTTTATTATTACTTTATTCTTAATCTCCGTTGAGAATAGCTCTAACCGGTTGGACTGAGGTTTTAAAGCAATGGATCCAGTAACGAGGTGGACACCAAAACAGGTTGTTGACTGGATGAGAGGTGAGTTTAGGACTTGTTTCTGCATAATATGGATATTCTGCTTTGAAAATTTAAAATATAAATGGTCTCTCTCCGTCTAGTTAGCCTTTGTAAGAATCTAGGACGTGTAGCCTACTTTTGTTTATCTGTACTGTCGGTGAAACCAAGATTAGTGTGTGTCAGTGTTCAAGCACAAACAAAACAAACTTTTATTTTTAAAGAAACTCGTGTGGCCGAAAAATAAATTCATTTATGAAAATAACATCCCGCGGTTGCTATTTCCCGTTTTTGATTGTTTAATAAGTGTCCATTTGTTTGTTTGTTTAATCTTGATCAACTGTTCTACTGCTTTAAAGAAAGTAAAATATTCAAAATTGTGAATAAGTCTGGTACTTTACAAAGGAATCTCCCAAATAAATTCCTTTGCTCCAATAATGATGTCATACATGTGACTCGCGCCTTCCTAATTTGAAAGCTAATGATTAACTGAACGGTTACAAACGCAAACTCTGGAGACTGAAGTAATAACAGTAGGCGGCTCGGCGCTCGGCAGCAGCAGAGCTCCTCGTTTGATCCTCCTCCGTTGGTTTGAGGGGAGGAACACACACTGAAATCTGATATATGTGCCTAGAGATGAACTCTTCTCCTCCTCGTGAGTTTATCCTGTTCGCTCAGTCCAAGTCCATGTGAGAGAATCGGCTGCATATGGAGATATCTCGCGAGCCGATTATTTCTGGATTTCTAGAGGACAGACTGAAAGAATTATATTGTTTCACAGTGCCGATCACATGGTGCTTGACGTACTTTATTATTACTTTATTCTTAATCTCCGTTGAGAATAGCTCTAACCGGTTGGACTGAGGTTTTAAAGCAATGGATCCAGTAACGAGGTGGACACCAAAACAGGTTGTTGACTGGATGAGAGGTGAGTTTAGGACTTGTTTCTGCATAATATGGATATTCTGCTTTGAAAATTTAAAATATAAATGGTCTCTCTCCGTCTAGTTAGCCTTTGTAAGAATCTAGGACGTGTAGCCTACTTTTGTTTATCTGTACTGTCGGTGAAACCAAGATTAGTGTGTGTCAGTGTTCAAGCACAAACAAAACAAACTTTTATTTTTAAAGAAACTCGTGTGGCCGAAAAATAAATGCATTTATGAAAATAACATCCCGCGGTTGCTATTTCCCGTTTTTGATTGTTATGCACGCATGTTATGTGGGAGTATTTTACTCCCACAGTTCTTGAGATGGTTGAAGACAGATTTGTCAAACCATTCATCGTTTTTCACTTCTAGAAGATAATTAGACCCTGCCATCAGAGCAATTGATTGACAAATAAAGGACTATTCTTCAGTGTTGAAGAACTTGCTCATGTATAGCAGTGAATTACAGATAAATTGGAATTAAACATTTGTCCAAGTGTGAATGCCAGTCAAATTCAAATCGGAACACTGTCTTGTGTGAATTCAAATCGAGTTCCGGCCATGGTAGCCTATGTGTACAGGTGTAATCAATGGAAGGAAAGATTAATACAAGGGTCATGATAATGTAAGAGTCAAATGTGAATTGTACCACCTGTCCTTGCATCAGTTATAGTCAAATTCCATAACGTTTACTACTACTGCTACTACTACTACTACTATTATTATTAGGCTACTATCATTATTATGTCTGTTAGAGTCTATTTGGTATCTGTGTGGAATGAAAAAAAAGTTTTTTTTCAAAAAAATTCTAAAAACTTATAATAATTTTTTTGTATGAATCACCACCAACTCATAGAATAGTCACATTTTCTCATGAGATCAGTTCAGAAATATGGAAATAAGTGTTTCTGATGTCCCAAGCATAAACAATCTCTTTCAAGGAATAATTATTTTGTTGAAATCAAATAAAAAGCATTCGTATCAGTGGGTCTTAAAAGGTTGGTACATGCTTTAAATATGATTCATAGGGGGAAAAAATATAGTTCACTTATTTACTTGGTTCATTTGTCCCTAAAGTAATAAAATGTCTATTTTTAGATTTTTACACAGGCAAATTTTTCTGGCATAACCCGTGAATTTGACTTGGCATCTAAGACCTAAGAACTCTGTAAAATATTATGTTTTTGCCTCTCAAACTACTTAAAAATAATCATAGCTTTACTTTATAATTAATGTTACAATTTTTTGTTCTGGTGGTGAGTCCCTTATATATTACTTCATTTAAGGGACACATTAATTTGTCAATAATCTGACAGTACACTTATTGAGCGGGTATCCTGGAATTATAACTTGCTTAAGGGCACAAAGGTGTCAGTTACTGGATCAACTGTGCAGGGTTTGAACCAACAACATTCAGTTACCAGCCTAAGTCTTTAACTGCAGTGCCATATGACAATTTGAATAGCCTTTGAACACACTGTGCTATGGAAGTGTAAACTGTACTACTACATTGCAAACATGCAGAAAAAAGAACAAGAGCATCCGTTCTCTGTTGAATGAAATGCCCTAAGGCTTTAAAGGTTTATAGTGGTTCGTATGTAGGCTTCTCTTTACTCTGTGTCCTGCTTTTTTTATTTTTTGTCTTTCTTTGTGCTCTCGAGAGTCAGTTGAATTAAATGTATTTTTTTCCAGAGAAGACTAGCCTACCTACCAGGTGTGTTTAATTTATTTTTACTAAGATGCTTTATGTACTTTGCCTCTTATGCTATTGTTAGCTTTAGATCTTTATCACTTTTCATTTTTTGCTTGTGCTCTTGAAAAATGGTCTAGTTGATTTTTTTTTTTATACAGGTTTTCCAATTCTCACACTTTTTTCCATGTGACCATGCATGAACAGACAGTAAAAGTTGAATGTCAAGTCTTTAAAACTTTTGCTGACTTGGAGTATATTCATGGAATGTTCTGCAGAAACTGGAGTGAATAATTTCACACTTACAAATTATGTTTCAGTCCTCCCCTTCTACTCCCACACTTGTTGAAGGACAGCTGGGTGCCTTACATTCTTTTTTAAAGCTTCAGAAGCATCCAAAAAAAAAAAAAAAAAGTTCTCAAACTACTGAGATAATTGAGTTACAAAACCTCTAAATGACCTAAATGAGGCAAAAGCACAATAAAAATATGAAAATAGTTAGGGATGCACCGATGTATCGGCCAGTAATCGGTATCAGAAAATTTGATTAAACATTTTTTTGGATATCAGCTGATTAAAAACAGCTGATGATCAGGGTCGATTATATCCTGTCAGTCAAAAAGGGGAGGAAAAACGTGTCAGACTGCAACTTGTGTCTGAAGAAAATGTCTCTTGTGTAGAACTTAGGGCTGACAAAGTTAATGACACATTAACACAAACTCATTTAAAATAGTGCACATATTTTGTACATACGTGTTTTACATTGTACATATATTTAAAAACTACCTGTATGTAATTAATTTCTGTAATTACATCAATTTACAACGTTGATCCAACACCTAAACATACTATGAAATAGTGCTGGGCGGTATGACCAAAAATTTATATCACGGTATTTTTCAAAATTATACCGGTTTCACGGTACATGACGGTATTTTTTTTTTCATGCATGGCCGGGTGTTAACCATATTTTCTACTGATTGAGAGAGGAAATACTGCAGTATATTGACTTAGAATGCCCTATTTTACTATCATGATAAAAAAACATTCTCAATGAGGAGTAGCCTAAACTAATAGCCTAAATTGTAATTATCCTCACAGCGCGCCATACGGCGTGGAACGGCATAGTCATATAGACTATGATTTAACAAAAACAGATTTTGTTATTTTTAGTTAAACGTAATTTTTGTTGCTTGTCTGCGCTCGTCCGCCGTCTTTTTCTCTTCTCCGACCCCGCAGCTCTCTCTCCGATAGCTTAGTGTTAGTGGCACCAGTCTAGGTGTTTCCAGGTTTTACTCGTGCTATTTCTCCATGTTGAGAGTTTGGTGTCGCACATATTGCTAAGCATTCTTATCCTTTTCTCCGATGAACTGAAAATAACAGGAGTGTGTCCATCTCACAAATGTAGAATCCGTCTCTGCAGTCATCTCAACCATCTAATTCCAGCAACAGGAAATAGACAAACTATTTTACCCGCAGAATTTTTTTCTCTGGTGCTGTTTTGCGGTGTTAGTAATATGTTGTTGTAACTTGCGTTACTGAGATTGTAACGAGTAATAATATTACCCAAATTTGATTAGTAATGCGTTATATTACTGCGTTACAGCAAAACGTAATATACTACTGTAATATTATTACTTTTGTAATGCGTTACTCCCAACACTGGTCATTGCACATGTACTGTAGGCCTGTTACAGTTAACATGATAAACATCAGTGAGTAGTCCAAAGGCTTTGAATACTTTCGCCACACTTAAAATATATGAATTTCTTTGCATTAAACACCAACATATAAAAGGGGCATCTTAAAACAATTGATGCTAGAGCTTTTTTTTCAGATCTAACTTTACTTTTCTGAGCCATTTTTTAAATTACTTATTTTACTAATTTAAAAAATGGTAACACTTTACAATAAGCTTCATTAGTTAACATTAGTTAACTACTTTAGTTAATATGAACTAAGAATGAACAGTACTTCTACATTTAGTAAGTTAATGTTAATTCCAGCATTTACTAATGCATTATTAAAATAAAAAGTTGTGCTTGTTAACATTAGTTAATGCACTGTGAATTAAAATGAACTAACAATGAAAAACTGTACACTCTAAAAAATGCTGGGTTAAATGCAACCCAGTGCTGGGTAAAATAGGGACAAACCCAGCAATTGGGCTGTTTTGACCCAGCGGTTGGGTTACATCTACACTAAAGAGCGGCTATGCGGTTGTTTTAACTATATTACTTTTTTGTCTCTGATTACTTTTTATATCACTGCCTGCGTCTGAGTAACAAACAAAAAAAAAAAAAAGTGCATGTGATATTAACAGACAAACTACGCTCATATTTATAATTCCAAACAATCAGTAAGCGAATAGGCAACAGTGAAAAGGGACCCCTTTCAAACAGTGTTGCGTTCCGAACGTTGTTTAAGCAACATATTGCGGTATTTTAAAAAGTCATATCATAACAAAAATAAACACCGGTATTCGGTATGAACCGGTATACCGCCCAGCACTACTATGAAACCTGTCTCTAACCTTTCCTGTATCCCACCTCAACAGCAGCAAATGTGTGATGATATGCTAGAAGGCAGAAATCCAGTCATGTGACTGTAGAAACTTCTTAAAGTTTCTGAACTTGTGTGTGTGTGTTTGTTTTTATGTTTATCGTTAATGATCTCATTGTCAAAAATGCTTTTTGTGTGGTAAAATTGAATGGATTTCCAAAGCATGACATCCAATAGATGTGACAGTGATATTTTAAGATATTCTGGGAAAAACAGTGTCATCTTGATCAGCCTGGGGATGGTTGAAATTGTTGAATAACAGGAATATATCCGTTGGGTAAGTTGGGTAAGGCCACCTTTGATGTGGAACCAACAAGTGTACCTTTTCCATAGGTTCTGTTAATGATATTAATGCTTTAATCTAAATGTCATCTTGATCAGCCTGGGGATCGTTGAAATTGTTAACGTTTTTCTTTGCTAAAAGTGTGGTATCAATCACTAGCTACTTTTTACACACAAAGTTACCATTCTAACCAAACTTCAAAAGCATATCACTTTACAGTGACTATTTCAAATACTTCCATATTTGTAAACTTGAATAACAGGAATATATCCGTTGGGTAAGTTGGGTAAGGCCACCTTTGATGTGGAACCAACAAGTGTACCTTTTCTATAGGATCTGTTAATGATATTAATGCTTTAATCTAATGTTTTCCATCCACGTAACTACAACACCATATGTCAACCCTTAGATCTTGGTATCACCATATGGTGTCTACATGAGATTCTCATAAATATTTAATGGATACT